ATAAAATCACGTCTACCTCTTGGATTTAGATTGTCAAAAACAACGAAAATAATGATATTTAATTATTTTAAACCATACTATCCTTTAGTAAGTGTCTTCAATAGCTCATAGATTTTTATCGAAAGGGGCGCCAGAAATCCAATATCACTGAACACCCCCCCTCTTGGATTTCGTTTGTCAAAAACGACGAAAATAATAATATTTAATTATTTTAAACCATACTATCCTTTAGGAAGTGTATTCAATAGCTTAAAAATCCTAAAATGAACCATTTTTATTAAAAGGGCGGCGTCTAGAAAATCAATCTCATTTAACCCCCCCCCCCCCATGGATTTCGTTTGTCATAAACGACGGAAATAATTATATTTAATTATTTTTAATCATACCATCTTTTAGGAAGTGTCTTTAAAAGATTAAAGATCCAAAATGCAACATTTCATCGAATTGGGCGCATTCGGGGTCTTTAAGTTATTAAAGACACTTCCTAAAGGAAGGTATTTTAGTGATATTTTTCATCTTGACAGCCCTGAAGAAGTATTTTTTGTTTATCATTTCAAAGATTAAATATTATTATAATTTTTACTTGTCTTTCCTAATTTAATTTTTCATTAATGGCACTGATTCTTCTTCAATTTTTTAAGTCTGATGTGGATCAAATGTCCCCCTGACTGTTGGCTTTAAAGTCCCTGAAACAAACAGGGCTCCTCCTGCAAGCTGAATCTGTCCTTGTTAGGCTATTTTGTCATGGTCTAATATTCTGCAAGACCTTAATTCTTGAAAACAATAATAATATTTCGGCAATAAAATATTTATTTATTTATAAATACTTTTTTTGGGCCACACCCTTTCTACAACCCTGATCAAGGAAAAATTTTTTTCTTCTGTTCCATAAGAATATATGTGCAAAAATAGCACCATTTATCTCTATTATTACAAGAGTTTATATTACAAACTCCAGTAGACTAACGAGGTCCTGTTTTTGAGTAAGTACATACCCAAAAATACTTCTGATTTCTTTGCTAATATCAATTTTGTCTTCAGTATCGTCGATAAAATCGTCCATCTCCGAATCATACTCACTGTCAGATTCAATCCTGTTCCGGCGTGGTTTTTCCTGAAAATTCAGGTTAAAAATATGTTATTCATGATTTTTTCTTTCATTTCATTTTCC